AAAAACCAATTTCCTAACACTTAATGCATACAGGAATACAAAGTTCTAGCCAACGAGGCACTAAAAGGATCTCTAAGACAGAACGCTTTCGGAACTTGTGTTCATGAAGCTGTATTTCACACGGGTCAAGAAATGGGACAGTCCTAGATCGTTTTCCATTTTAAAACCATAGGGGTAAAAAACATATCAAGAAGCTATAGGAGTACATTATTAAGGTATTTACTTGCACATGCACACACATACAAATCGCTTAGTACCCCCAAAATTGTAAATAAGCTTAAAAACAAAACCAAAAACCAAAACAATCAACCAACACACACCCTCCCTCCAAAAATAAAACAAAACAGAAACAGGACCCAAAAAAACCCCCTCAACCCTCAGAATCACACATACCGAACAGTGGATCTAAAGGCTACAGAAGCTTTAAGACTCATGAACTCCACACCATGCAAAGTCACCCCTTAGCCATTCCAGAAAACAAAAAGCCCCTCCCTCCCTTTAGGCATATGCTACGCAGCGTGTACACCGTAATCTGAATTTTGAGAGTAACTGAGGCTCCAAGCCACCCTCAGCAGCAGCAGCCTGATGGCCCTCAGCACTGACTGTTGCTTTCCTCCAGTTCATATTACAACAGAAGCACCTCTTCTTCAAAGGACCTTGTCAAGCCCTGCACTCCATCATTCAGAAGTGCCAGGAGCAAAGTTAGTTGTGCGAAGCTAACTTGTTCCTTTTTCTTCTCTTCCTTACATTTTAACACTAAGCACTTAGTTAACTAAGTGAGAAACGAAAATAAAACGTTAACAACGGAAGCGCACAATTTGAACTATTCTGAAAAGAAAGTTATTACATCTTGCCCACGGGCTTTTCCTTTAACGGACTTCAACAGGACGCTCAAGGCCTTATCTGGCAGATTTGTAAGAGGATTTGCACGCAGGATTCCTCCTTGCAACTGCTGCTTGTTAACCGATACACCGTGACTTCCTAAGCTGTTTTTAATTCTGTTTCCACACGGCAGAGATTTCCCCTGAAGCAGGTATGATGTGCAGCGGGTACGCATCCTCTGCCATAGGAACCGTGGCACTACCGCTGGGCACTGCACCCTGCGGCGCTGCTCCCGCCGCGCAGGACCGCACGGCTGAGACGCCGGGCACCGCTGCGAGGTGCTGGCTTCGCGCGTGCTGAGGGCTGCTGAGGAGGACCGCCGCGCCACGCAGCAAGGTACGCCGCTGGTAGGATGCCTCGGGGCGAGGAGCTGTCCCCGGGTGTGGGGCATGCAAGCCACAGCACTTCTAGCGCATCACCAAATCGACGCCCTCGCCCGCAGATCTAAGCGGATTCATTATCTATCGGCAGTTGCTGTTAAAGAACAAACATGCACAAGGTACTTACTAGAAAATGTCAGTTCTTTCCACCAACTGCTGAAAAACAACATGACGTGAAATGAACAAAATATAAAACTTTATTGTTTCTAGGCCAGTGCAAACAGTATCAAAAGGAAAAGAATCAGGAAGCTTTGAACAGCAACAACCGAACCAGTGGGAAGAGAGAGACTCAGAAGGGCACCTTCGCAGACTGGCACAGCATCTTCACGCCCTGAACCAGAGCAGCAATCCTCCCTGCTGCAAGCAGCAGCGACAAGCACTCCTGCTGGAGAGTATTTGCTCCTAGCAGCGAGTGACCGTGAGCGCTGCACGTGTCGAACGCCAGCAGGCAGGCAGAGAGCAGGCAGTGGTCCGGGTGGGACATCCTTCACCCGCCTCTCCCGCTCGTGCCCGAGCCTCGTCTTCTGCTGCAGCGTCGTTCCACTTCATCACCACGCAGTCCGCCGCCGCGCCACAGCAGTGCCGTCAGCGTGCGTCCACCGCTGCCCTGCATCCCCCTCCCGGTCCTTCCAGCTCCGTCCTTCTCTTCCTTCTTTTTTTGCAGCTCCCTCCTTTCCAGACCACCACTCT